GCACCAGCACCACCACCACCAGCACCACGACCACCACCACCACCACCACCACCAGCACCAGCACCACGATCACCACCACCACCACCACCACCACCAGTACCACGACCACCACCACCACCACCACCACCACCACCACGACCACCACCACCACCACTACCACCACCACCACCAGCACCACGACCACCACCACCACCACCACCACCACCACCAGCACCACGACCACCACCACCACCACCACCACCAGCACCACGACCACCACCACCACCACCACCACCACCACCACGACCACCACCACCACCACCACCACCACCAGCACCACGACCACCACCACCACCACCACCAGCACCACTACCACCACCACCACCACCACCACCACCGTCCTCGATAGACCACTCGATTTCCGGACCCGACAGCCCCAGCCCCAATCTTTCAAGCCCGAGTCCCAAGGAAAGCAGCAGTAGCAACCGGTACCAGAGTAGTAGTAGTAGACGAAGCCGTTACCTTGCTAGTGGGCTGCGAGCTGCTGGGGACCGGTGGACGACACAAACTGAAAATAAGAATGGAGCAGATCGTGCTACTGTAGCTACCACTGGCCTATATCACAGTAGGAGCACTGGTAGTAGTAGCAGTAGCACAACTGCTGGTGCTACCCACAAGAAGACGACGCCCACCCCAGGCAGGATAGCCAGTCACAGCAGCAGAAGCCATAGCAGCATCTCCGGCATTATTCGTGATGGCATTAGCAGCAAGCAAACCTCTGACCGTAGCGGCTCCAGTCGCATCAGGCGCCAGACGCTGGTGATATCACGCAGCGGCCACACCGCCCCCTCCGACCCAGCCTCGTCCTCCACAATTGGCTACCTGCCCGTACCTACGGAAGCCATACTGGACTTGGGTTTATTGGATGAGCCCAACCCACGTCGTGATCGACGGCTGTTCCGATATCTGCCGCTAGTGGGTGGTGTGATGCTTCATGCCATACGACGGCCAATTGATAACAGCAGCTGTAGCTTGCCAGCAGGGGCTGGGCCAGGGAGAGGGTTTGCACGCCCCTTGAGTGCCGACTGCAACAGGTCTGGAGGGGGCAAGGGGAAAGGAACGGATCTGGGTTTGAAGAGGGGTTCTAGGGCTTAAAATTTGTGAGGTGGTGTCTTGTACACACATGCCTTGTCAGTGCTTTAGTCAACTGATGTGACAAAAATGTCACGTTAGGACCTGGGCTTGAGGGTATCATCTTGAGGTCACAAAAGATAAAATCGGGTTAGGAGACAAATGTTGTGGGCTCCGGAATTGGTAGCGGTTTTAAAGGGGACGAGCTCATAATCCTCCGTGGCTCCACAACTCTATCTTTGTGATGGTGCTGCAACACGTTACTTGCGTTTCTCTGCCTCACCATGCACAATCACGACTGTGCTAATGACTACGACCACATTAGTGGTATAACGTTAGTGCACACTCCAGATGCCGGCTCGTTGCATGCCCTTTCACTGTCCTGTGTGTGATATTCGACAGGTATGACATATCTTCACACAAGGGCAGCAACAGCACCCGCAGCATTCTTAGCCGCCTCTTTGGCCAAGAACGCAACAACCGCCATCCGTACGGTGTGGATGCCGTTTTCCTGCCCACTTCCACGCTTTATGATGGCAGGCTGTCACCCGACATATCGCAGTATTATAACACCACCTCTGAATCGGAAGAGGTAGCCCCGACTGGGGCCCCCTACGCCTTCTACCATAGAGCCCTCAAGGTGCGGCATTTTAATACAAGCAAGGTACAGCTGCGGCACTGTATCAACCCTGTCACCGGCTACACGACAACAGTCCATTTGTGGAAGCATGGACCTGTGTGTCGTTATATGATGGGGGGTATTGGGGTGCTATACCCCATAGCGTATTTGTAGCAGCTGACCGCTGAAAAGGTCTCTCGAGTTGCTGGTGGTCGCGCTCTGCGCGTATTTATAGCACCGTACTGTGTACCGGCTGCTACATTCCCCCCCTTTGAAGGGAACCGTCTCGGGCCCTTAGAGCCTCGTATACCACCAGCCTGTGCCTACCTTCTCCTACCCTCGGGCAGTGGGGTGACCAAGCCCACATCACGTCATGTGCCCGCTTCACATGCGCCTAGCCTTCAGGTTTTTCAGGCACAGAGACAGACCAGTCGGTTCAGCTACTTTTTAATTTATAGTTTTTGTGCGATATTCGCTCTCAAAGTCGCCACACCCGATATACCACTCGAACGTGATCGGTGGGGGTTGAACCGACGACTTCAGAATCGTGAATTTTCACGAGGTCTCGATACCAAATGAAGCAGCTGACCGCTGAAAAGGTCTCTCGAGTTGCTGGCGGTCGCGCTCTGCGCGTATTTATAGCACCGTACTGTGTACCGGCTGCTACAGTATTGCAAACTTCTCCTATCCGAGTTGGAAGCACAAGTACCTTCTCCTGCTTGCCAAAAGGTCAAGTAAAAGGGAAGCGCAAACATATATGATAAAAAAGAAACCATAGTCACGTGCGACCACATGTAGGCGCGGAAGATAGGCGGGGACTAGGGGGGCGGCTTTTCAAAGCCGAAAAGGGGCTCGGCCCCGGTGCAGCCACTTGACCCCGTTTAATTCACAGGGCAGTCCGTACGGCATAGGAGTGCAAGCACAAGAACGCCGCCATGTTTGGAGTACACACTTGTTGTTGTAATTTTCAAACAATAAAGGTTGGCAGACTTGCTATGGCGGTGTAGACCAGCGTAGACCTGTCTGGATCGTCACAAGCGTGCAGCCGCCATAGCATAATCATTATTGACGGGACAGTTAGCCTTCTGTGATGCGGCAATCCATAGAATGACTTACACACAAAGCGCCTTGAACTGTCAGCCAGCAGACTGAAGGGCCGTCTGGCTGGCAGTTCAAGGCGCGCAAAAGTGCCCGTGCTTCATGGACCAATTGTTGTCCGCTCCCAGCCAGAACGCATTCAGGGATCGTTCCAATTGCACACTTTGAAGTCGGAATGCAGCGGCAAAGGTGATGGTGTGTCGCAAAGGCACACTTCGTTTGAACTTGGATTGAATGAATGAAGAAGAGAATAAGAAGGACAACAATCAAACAGGCACGACATGCTAGGAGGGAGGTGCTTAGAGCGTTGCCATGGGTCAACAACAGCCCCGCCCTCCTCCGCACCCAATGCTGGGGGCCCGGCCGCGGCCGCGGCGGATCGGCTGGTCAGGGGCCGCCGCCGCCGGCGGGGACGCGGGCGGCAAGGCGGCCGGCTGATGGGGGCTGCCGACATGGCCCGCTGTGGGGGCTGGCACCTCCACCTGCGCAACGGCCCGACCTGGGTGGCCCCGCCCTCCTCCGCCAAACTCGGAGCCATGGAAAGCTATCTTTGTCACGCTCCGAATTATCTGGAATGTCTCCTTTGGCATTTCGATATAGAATGGATATAGCTTCTACATTCAATCTTTTGCGGAGCGAGATATGTAACTTTATGTTTAACTCGGAGCCATGGAAAGCTATCTTTGTCACGCTCCGATTTATTTGGAATTTCTCCTTTGGCAGGTTGATATAGAATGGATATAGCATTCAAACGCTATTTTTTGCGGGGCGAGATATGTAAGCCACTGACTGACTGACTGACTGACTGACTGACTGACTGACTGACTGACTGACAGCAGTGAACCCGGGGGGCTCGGCCCCCCGAATGGCGCTTCACGCCCGGGGCCCAAAAACACTGTTATATCACGACTTCAGAAATGTACCGATCCGCAGATGCAGATCCCGTGATATGCGCAGCGATACTACAACCACATATTACACCCTACGAACGCGGAGGGGGGTTAAGAACGTTCTTAAGTCGTTCTTAGCCCAGCCAAATTGATAAAATTGAATAATCATTAGAACGTTCTTACATCGTTCTAAGAACGACCTAAGAACGTTCGTATGACCTCCGTTTATCTTAAAACCGTTCTTTCAAATTCTTTAGCATTCTTCAGAGCCCAGCAGTCTTATGTATTCTCTTCCATTCTTTGGGGTGTTCTTATACGTTCTTAGGCCAACTGATTGATTCTTTGTCTAAAGCATACTTAGCTGCTCTTTGGCCGGTTTTAACCATTCTTACCATAGGTTCGCTAAGTATGGCACTCATTCTTAAGTCATATTCTCCGGAAATTCTTTTTGCTGCTTACATTCTTAAGCCTAAAAATGTGGGATTCTTAGGGGTGGTCGTGATGAAAAAGCCATTCAGACGCATGTTCCGGCCTTTGCTTTCTCACCTGTACTTTTACTGACAGGCGCCCATTTCTGAGGTATCCGCAGATATCTTAAGGATACAATGCATTGAATGTTCTAGGCTGGATTCGAATCTAAGACTACGAATTTTCTGTGCTAAATTCTATAACCGAACCTATGTTTTAAGAAAAGATACAAGTTCTCTATCTATGCTAAAATGTGTGCGTATACTATGAGCTGCGCCAAGTGCTGTACACTAACATATGTGCATGTACGACAAACAACTCAACACCTGTTCAGCAACTCAGCTATCAGCCCTGGCCCCTGTACAAAAACCTGGCGTGCAGCCTGACATGGCCACATACCTGCTGCAGTCCACTGCCCAACACCATCCCTGGCTGCTGCAGCCCTATGGCATAAACATGCCGGTTACCGA